GATATTTCCGCCGCGTTCCCCCAATGCTTGTTGGCGAACTTCACGTGTCTTCGAAATATATTGCACACATCGAACGCGAAGCGGAGATCTACTCAACTTAAATAACTACCACCAGCTTTGTATTGCACTTACATAATAAAACCAATAGCAAGAGGAGATTTCAATTAACTTCTGACGTAGTTATAAGATTTTTCAATTCGTTTATTATTATAAAAAATAATTGAAAATAATTTCACTTGGACGCCAGTTGGTTGGTATGAACAAAATATCTTTCGAACTTATCACTTTGATTTTTTTATTAGCTTTCGATTTTAATCCTTAGGAAGCTTTTTGAACTTCACAAATGTAAACCGTCCCGTTCATTAATATATTTTATTATTTTATTCGTTATTTGACAATTTTTTTCGGTAAGAAAGTACGAACTGGTATCAAGCAGTCAAAAAAATTTTCGTGTTATTTAAACAGAAACAATTTTTTGAAGCTTCAAACGAAATACGTGTTTCGGTAATTAATAAAAGTAAATTGATTATTCAAAACATTGCACGTGTGCGCACTTTTTGATTATCCAATTTAAAAAAATATTGAAAACAAAGTTTTTTTCTTCATATTTCTTAGCCATGCAGGTTTCCTCTCGATGGTTTCCTTCAGCGCCGAGCACATGGTAAATTAGCACTTAAAGTTGCAATTAACAATTTAATTTTTCTAGTTTGGCTTCAGATGACCATACAAGATCATTGTTATATTAGGCAATAAAGTTATAGCGCAAGTTTATATGTAACTCTGGTTTGTAACGGAAATAGAAATAAACAATTATTATTGGAACGAAGTACCTTATCGGACGGTACGAATTTGGCGGATGGGAACTAGGCGAGAAAAAGTGAAAGATTATTCCGTCACGACGGCTTCTGACGTAGTGTTAACGGCCTTGGCGGCTATAAGAAGGTGAGATGGAATAATATCTATCTCCCTCGCACTTTTCTTATCTTGCCATGAAAGAAATAGTATTTTATTTTAATTGACGCTTTATTTTATTAGATGCTAATAATTCATTTATTAGTTTGCATTATTTGTTCATCAATAATTAGGTACTTATAATACTTTTATCAATAATAATATACTACAAAAAAAAACTTCGTTCCAACCGAGTCATCCACAACACTCGTGCATGTTTTTTATTATTATTACTTATAAAATGAAGTAGACGTCGCTATTATAAATTTATAAAGCAATTTTAGTCGAAACAAAATATTTTTTTGATTTAATACACTAAAATGTTGGTTCTACATGTCTAAATATAAGGATTGTAACATTTATTTGCTATTAAATTATACTTTTATCTTAGAACTTTTATATAATATTTTATGCTAAACTTGTGGTTGAAAATTATCAACTTAAATCAAATCGAATCAAAATTCGCGTTCGTATGTATTGCTCGCTATGGGAAATGAAAAAGGAGATGAGTTGCAGCAACTTCCTGAAAACAACTTAAAAATAATTAAAAAATGGCAAATATTGCAACATCATAAATGTTCTCCTAATAGGCTGATAAAGATTATATTGATTAATCTATCATTACGACGTTGTGTTGTAATGCAGCGGTAACGTTACTTTTTAAATTAAGTCGTAGTTTTAAATTACGCATATTTATTGTTCATTTAGTTAGCATCATTTAAAAATGTTTATATGGATACACATCGCAACCACTGCGATAACGATCGTTATTCGAAACTGCGTCATTTACCATAATATGAATTGTTCACGATGACATTTTTTATTAAAGCAAACGTAACTCTTTGGAATTAGAAACTGAGAACGCATGATCGGCAGTAGCGCTTAAGACCTCTAGACCAACGAGCCAGTCATCAGCTCGCAATAGTCCACTATGTATTACTAGCAAGTATACTAAGCAAGATATACCATAATCGGCTCGCTTGTTAGGCGATCTCTGACGCTTCATTTCGTCACCGGTCCGTGTATTTTACATCTGGAATGTACGAGATGATTATAAAGCCATCTATCAGAGGCTTTCTTATAAAATAGAAATGACAAAGGAGCTTACAGTCCACCCGATGGTAAGTGGTAGAAGTCGCATGAAAACACAATGTATCTGTCAAGTAATACATATTATATTAAATTAGATTGTATTGTGCGATTGCCAAGTTAATTTATTTATTTAAAACATAAAAGATTTTTGATATTGATATGGTCACTATGAGATGTTGTTAGGTTAGCTAACTACGTAATAATTTAAGACAGAAGAACCCTTAAGTAGGGACTGAATAAATTAACCGACTTGGTGTTACATGGATCTCACAATTATTTACTGTAGAAGAACTGAGTTGCGAGCCTTGCCTTTTTTACAAGTTATGTTTTTGATGGCATCTCATTTCTTTTTGTAGATAGTTGTATCAAGGTTCCTATCTACACCTATTAATCCATTACATTATACATATAGGTACACTGATTCATTCACTGCAAATGTAACTTTGTAATCCTACTTACAAAGTTATTTATGCAGTTGATGTATCTCGAAAACTGGACCGAAATTGCAAAATATTTTAATTTTTCCTTGTTTTATATATTAAACATTAATTGTCTTCCAAATTTGAAGCTTCTATGTCTGCTAAAAGTGCCTTAGAGTTTTGATGATCGGTCAGTCAGTGAGTGACAAAATTAAGAAACTTAGACTAGTTATAATTCTTAAACTACTGGTTCAAATTTAATGAAATTTGAAATATACCAAGTTTATACAATGCCTACTTAGTTACTGAATTTAGGCTTCTAGTTTTATCCACATGGAAGTTATAGCGTTTCGAAAATGGCCTGAACTGCTTCGAGAAAAGGATGGTACGGCCGTGCCGCTTGTTTGCTCGACTTGGCGGGGGCACTGCGGTGCCCCCAGATGCATTACCTCGCATTTTGAATTTATAAGATAAAAATAACAGAACGTTTGAGATATTTTTTAATGCATTTTTCTTCACCATTTGCCTATATTACTTATTCTGAACCTTCTCTATAAATTTGGCCGGTTATTTCAAAATAACCCTGTATCGTAACGATCTTCTTAATATTAAAATTACACAAGGACAGATCTTAAATTTTGCTGACGATACAGTCCTTCTCTTTTATGCAAATACGTGGCAAGAAGTATACAAAAAGGCTAAAGATGGCTTAAATAAAGTATCCGACTGGCTATTAAACAACCTTTTTACATTAAATATACAAAAGACAAAATATATAACTTTTACAATTCGATCAACCAATAACATTAACTTCCAATATACATTAAGAGCACATACATGTTCTAAGAGCTGTAAAGAGCCATAGTAGCTCAAATGGTTAGCGCTCACTGTAAATTTCAAAGTACGCAACCAACCCAGATTGGACCCCCGCCGACACAAATGAAATTGTTAATTGCAATTTAAGTGCTTATTTACTATGTGCTCGGCGGTGAAGGAAAACATCGTCAGGAAACCTGCAGACGTGTGAAGTTCACCAAAACGCATTGGGGCATCGCGGCGGACACTTCCTTGTCCTAAAACCCTCTGATAAATGAGACGAGGCCTGTGCCCAGCAGTGGGGCGTATATAGGCTGTAACTTTTTTTTACTTGTTGAACATGTAAAAAAACGTTACAGCCTTAAAAGGAGTCAATATCTTTGCACTACTATTGAGAGAGTAGATAATATTAAATATCATGGAGTAATTATTGATAACAAACTCAGTTTCCTAAGCCACATAAACATGTTAACAGCTAGAGTAAGAAAATTAATATACATTTTTAAAAACCTTAGGCACATAGCAGACTTAAATCTTCAAAATAGTGTTATTTGCCCTATGTCAATCGATTATCACATACTGCATAACATCGTGGGGCGGTACTGAAAGAACAAAAATAATAAAATTTGGACGAGCACAGATAACTATACTAAAGGTATCCGCCTCACTTCCCTTTCTTTACCCTACTGTAGACTTATACAAGCGTTGGGAAGTCCTATTCGTCAGGCAGCTCCTTATTATACATTTTATCATTAAAAACACTCTCTCCTGCATTATAATTCACAATTGATAAACGATAAGCACAGGAACGATCTAGTCTGTTCCTACAACACGTCTTGCACAAAATATTCACATCACTTTTTTATCTTTCTTCGAAATTATCTATATAATAAGGCAAACGCCAGATTTGGTATATATCACCTCAATAGAAATACTTGCAAATTAAGTCACCCAATGATTGTTAAGTCTGGACTATGACACCACTGAAAACCTTCTTATTTCATTCACATAGTTTTAATACTGGATAAGTCATACATTACATTAACACTCCTTTGTGCCTCGGGCTGGAGATTGCTTATACTTCAGAGAGGGCATTTTTCTCGACGCCTCGGCAGTCTTGAAGGTTCAGATAGCGACGACAGTCGCGCGTCTACGGGTGCCACTATAGGTCCCATATTGGTAATGCTGAAACAGGTCGACTCATCGACCACGTCCAAGCGGCTACAGATTCCTTGCTACAGCAGATTCTATCCGCGGAGATCGTGACCCTCTGCGATTTTAACACCCACCACGCCGAATACCTCGGTTTACTTTTAAGCGATCATGCGGGGACATCTGTTCATGACTTTGCCTTGGCATATGGTTTAACACAACTGGTTACTTCGTCTGCACAGATTCCAGATGTGGAGGATCATGCACTTTCCCTGTTAGACCTTCTGCTGACCTCTCATCCGGACAGATATCAGGTCTCCATCAACGCCCCTCTTGACTCCTCAGACCATTGTCTAGTCCGGAGTGAGGTACCATTCACGCTAACATCGCGGTTGAATTCTGCAGACTGCCGCCGTGTTTGGCACTGTAGGTCGGCCGATTGGGATAGAGTCCCAGGGAGGGGCATTGGACATTGCGAAGGCCTTCAATCGGATTTGGCACAAAGCGCTTCTTTCGAAGCTTCCTTCCTATGGGCTTCCCGAGAAATTGTGCAATTGAATCACCAGTTTTCTGGCTAATCGGAGCATTGGCGCAAATCGTAGCGGAGATCGGAGCAAAGTCGTAGTAGATGAGGCATGCTCCGATTACAAGCCTATTAACACTGGTGTTTCACAAGGAAGCGTGCTATCACCAACGCTGTTTCTTCTGCATATCAATGATATTTTGCAAACCGGTAACAACAGCACTGGTAATGCTTTATACTACGGCCGTGCAAATATTTCCCGGGAAAACGTCACCGAGTACCGGAACAAACTTGTGTCTAAAGTCGAGAATTTGTTGAATAATATCTCGGATTGTGTGCGACTAAATCTAGTCCAGTTCAATCCCCAGAAGACATCCCTATATATACTTTTCCGGCTCAAGCAGGCCCATCCGTGCAACAGCAGAAGCTTCCGCGTGGCTCTACCATTGTTATGATGGAGAAGCTCTCACGTCTCCAACCAGCTTTGGTCAATCGCTCGTCTCCGCTGCTCCTGCAGGACAACGCGCGTCCCCATACTGCATAACAGGCGGTCTCCAAGTTTCAAAAGCTGGGGTTGGAAACTCTTCGTCAGCCGCCGTACTGACCAGAACTTGCGCCTACAGATTTCCACTTTTTCCAGAATTTGGATACCTTTGGATATTTTTTCCGCCAAAGCCGGAAAAAAATTCAATACCCGATAGGTAGTACAAAATGCCTTTGAAGAATTTTGTTGCCTTTCGTCCAGCTGATTTCAACAACAAGTCCATCAATAAACTGCCACCGCGTTGGCAAAGATGCATCGATTGCATGAGCGATTACATTCATGAATAGAAATTAAAAATATAGAAAAAAAATACGTTAACTTATTAAATGAAACTAATTTTTACGGATTATATCGCGTTTAATTTTATTTTTTTTAATTCCCGACGTTTCGTGTGCTTTACAGCACTCATGGTCACAGGGGGGACTGAGGTGTTTGACGTCCCAATGTCATAGTTAGCCCGGCTACCTTCAGTTTTTTAATATTAATTTTAGTTCGATTTACGGAGAATGAGCTTACAGTATCTTGAAGTCTAGCAGTGGTATACTTGGGTTTGGATTTAATTTTATTAATTATAGGACCCCAGCAGATGGCAGCATCCATCCATCTTCTCTATTGAAATTAGGATGTTTTTTAATTTCAATAGCCTCGCGAATCATCCTTGGTAGGAATTGGCGTTCTTTTGCGAGGATTTGTGGTTTTTCAAATCTAATGTAATGGCGGGGACGATTTTGAACATGTTCACAAACTGCAGACTTCCCAATAACGTCGGTGCTTCACGTCAGCTATATATTCTTTAACGCGGGTTTTTGTAGATCTTTTTGTTTGTCCTATGTAAGAGACCATATTCACAATCCAGCTTGTACACTCCTGCTTCTTGTAGAAGGATATGACACTTGACGGATGGTAAAATTGACCAATCTTCTTCGGCGGCTTGAAATATGTTTTAATGGAAGCTCGCTTCAATATATAGCCAACCTTGTCTGTGACTCCTCTGACATAGGGTAATACAGCAGGCACACGCTCGACTGTGGCCAGATTCACTCGGTCACTGTGACGTAGGCGCAGGACCTGACGCTTGTTGCCTTGCAGTACTTGCTCGACGTGCTGAAGCTTGGCGGCCAGATGTTTTCTGTCACAGATCCCTTGTGCTCTCTGAAACAAAGATTTTCCCACGATAGCTAACTGTGAAGGATGATGGTGCGATTCACCATTTAAATATCGGTTGGCATGGGTCTTTTTCCTGTACACAGTATGACCAATAGTTTTATCAGGATTTCGGATGACTAAAACATCTAGGAAAGCTAAAGAATTGTTTGCCTCTAACTCCATTATGAATTGTATTTTTGGGTTTATGGAATTAAGGTGGTTTAAAAATGCAGTTACTTTGTCAGATGGTAAAATTGTGAAAGCATAGTCTACGTACCTCTTGTAGAATCTTGGATTTACAGGAGCAGTAAGAAGGGCTTTCTCCTCAAAATCCTCCATGAATATGTCGGCAACTATGGGAGATACAGGTGAGGCCATTGCCACTCCGTCTACTTGCATGTAGAACTTTTCCTTCCACAATAAATAGCCAGATGTGAGGCAGTGTTTGAGTAATACTGCATATTCTGTGGACATGTTGTTATCTTCTAGCTTTCTAGTTACAATTGAGATGCAGACTTCAATAGGTAGACATGTGAATAGTGACTGAACATCAAAACTGACCATAGTTTTATTGTCAGCGAGATGTAGGTCTTTTATCTCACTGACAAAATACTATGAATCCTTTGTGTGTGCTCTGGTGTGTCCTCTTAGTGGTGACAGTGTTTTTGCCAAGTGTTGAGCCAACTTATAAGTTGGTGAATCGATCTGGCCTACTATAGGACGTAGTGGAGCGTTTGGTTTGTGTATTTTCGGTAACGCATGCAACCTCGGTGGTTTTGCACATGATGGTACTGTCGAATTCACGTCGAGATATAATTTTTCGGAGTATTTCTTTATTAAATCAGTAGTTGTTTTAAGTGTATAACTTTTATTGTCTATTTTGACCTTTTTGTATGTACTTACGTCCGATAAAAGTTGTTGTATTTTGAAATTATACTCTGACGTGTCCATTATTACCGTAGCATTTTCTTTATCCGCGCGGAGAATCGTGAGCTCTGGTCTGTTGCGTAAGTTGTACAACGCTTTAAACTCGTCTTTGGGGAGATTTAGTTTCGGCGCTGAACTTCGACGTAACAAGGACGAAATGTCTTGACGTATGGCCACTAAATCCTCCTTACCGATATTATTCTTAAACAGACAATCCTCAACACTACAGATAATTTCTTCGTACGGCATTTTTTGCGGTGTTATAGCAAAATTCAAGCCCTTCGACAATACTTTTATTGCTAACTATGACATCGGGACGTCAAACACCTCAGTCCCCCCTGTGAACATGAGTGCTGTAAAGCACCCGAAACGTCGGGAATTAAAAAAATTAAAATTAAACGCGATATAATCCGTAAAAATTAGTTTCATTTAATGTGTAGTCTTCGCGTAAATATAAGAAAACATTACGTTAACTTATTTTATAAAATAACGGCAATTTTATAGGTAAAGATCTGGTCGAGCTGTTATTTAATTAAAGAAGAACCATTAAAATCGATTCACAATCTGCGAAGATATCGCATTACATATGTACGAAATGAGAACCTACTCTTTTTTGAAGTGAGTTAAGTTATTTAAGCTACACCTATGTGCCAAATTTCATTAGAATCGGTTAACCGATAGTCGATGAAAATCAAAAATTACTTAAACAAGAATCCAATCTGATACTTATTCCCCTATTTTTCAACCCTTAGGGACGGAATATTTTCTTCAATATTTTATGTAACCACACCTATATAATAAAAACTTTGATTAGAAGAAATAAAAAAAATATAGAAGAATAAATTACGTTAACTTATTTCATAAACAACGGCAATTTTTTTATAGGATAGGGTGACAAACGAGCACACAGTCCACCTGATAGTAAGTGGTTGCTGTGGCCCATAGACATCTACATCTATCTTCGTTTGCGAATTAAAATTCAGATGTGTTGTCACACGTGAGGACTAAGTTGGAATGCCTCTTTTCCAGTAAAAAGGGTCTCCGATTCTCTAAACTCACCATGCGAAACACAACAGCATTAAGCTGCTATTCTGTGAGAGCGTGGTCCTTCCCCGGTCGAGCCGACACATTCGTGCTACAACTATACTATTAATATAGCTGCAGCATGGCTCTACCACGTATAAACGATAACTACTACTAAACGATAACTTACGAGTTTACTACAACTAATATAAAAAAAGACTTATCGTTACTGCACTTATTATAAATGTGTTCTTTAAAAAAGAGCAATATTGCAGACTAGATACATATGTTAATATTGTTACAAGTATGGAAGAAGTAGAAACGTACGTGTATAAGTAAAGTAGGATATTGTCTTACTTGTTATGGTATTAATATTATCGTATTACAAAAGATGATGTATGTAATACTGTTTGTAACGTATGGCTATAATAAATCTTAAGAAATATCCATTAATCGCATTGTATTTGGCGCTCCTATTTTTGATGTCACATTTTTTCATTTCAAACATGCCTAATATAGACACAGATCATTATTGATGATAATTTACCGTAAATACAAGTAATTGTATAGAAACATCATTAAATTAATAAACATAACATCATGCCTGTATTTTCCAGAAGGAGTAGGTAGAGGTGTGTAGTACAGTTATGTTATAGGTCCCATGTAATAGTGGGCACAAACCAGACTCCGTGCTACTACTGGGAACTTCAAGTTATAAAAACCCAATAATAATTTGCCCGATCCTAGGATCGAATCCAGAACAGAACAGTTTTTCTGTCTATCACAAGGAACAGATGTTGCATCTATGCAAAAGTATTTCTTAAATTGTTTGAAATATAGCTAGTTCTTGAATAAATCCGATTCGAGAGGTTTTTGGATCGATTCATTGAATCGATGGAGTGTTCTAAGTCAATATCAGGATATCGGACAAGGATTTTTCAGATCTATATCGATCTGGAAAATCGATTATTTTACTATAAACAAACGATTAAACGATTTCAATCGACATGCTTACTTTGTACTATCACTGTCATCTCTCACTCTGTTAAAATTACATTGGTTGGCGTCGTTTGCTCTTTGTAATTGTATCGGTGTTTTGGTGACTTTCGGGATTGTGTTTGTTCCTAGTATTTACAGAGTGTAAAACTATCTTTGTTTTTGTGAACATACATTAAATTTTCATAAATATACTGAGGGGCCAAAGTTAATATATTTATTTCTTTAAATTTTTCTCTAAGAGACTCTCTCGGTTTAAGGTTGTAAATAGCTCTTATAGCTCTCTTCTGCAAAACTAAAATAGTTTCTAAATCAGCCGCATTTCAAATCCCATAAGACATAATGATATGAAAATAACTGAAATAAACCAATCTAGCTATCTCGACACTAGTGACTTTTTACAGTATAAGCTGCAGAGCTTAGTCTGCTTGCTAGTGTAGATATATGGGAGCCCCATTGAAGCTTTGCGTCGAGAGTGATGCCAAGAAAAACAGAGGATTCAACAGGGCTCAGTTCTTCCCCATTTGAAAACATATTGGTTTTCAGATTTTTTACATTCGTTGTTGTAAATTTAATACATTTAGTTTTATTGATGTTTAAATGCAGATTATTAACGTTAAACCAATGCACTAATTTTGATATAGCATCCTGCCACAAGTATATATTTACTTAAAAAAAATTGCCGCTTACTCCAATACATATATTATCTATGATCTTTTTAAAGAAATAAACAATTTTTCATTTTTCATTTTAATTTATTTATTTTTCATTACGTATAGCGGTTCGGGCTGTGCGTTGATAGATGAGTCAGTCATTCAAGACATCTTCTTTTATTTATTTTTATTTATTTATTTAGATGAAGATAACCGGAACGAGCGCTACTTGGGAAAAAAATCGGAGTGTCTGCCTTGGCCATAGTGTGGACTTACAGAGTTTTAAGCAAATATTTTTATAAATATTTTTTTAGGTGGTAGAGCCATGCTGCAGCTATATTACTGGTATAGTTGTAGCTCAAATTGGTCAGCTCGACCGGGGACGGACCACGCTCTCACAGGATACCAGCGTGAAATAGCAGCTTAACGCTGCTGTGTTTCGTATGGTAAGAGTAGAGAACCGGAGACTCTTTTTACTGGAAACGAGGCATCTTAGTTTTCACGGGTGACAACGCATCTGCATTTTGATTCGTAATCGAATATAGATGGACTGTGTGCTCGTTTATCATCCTTATCCTATAATAAAGGCAGCCGAGGGAAATTAAGCATGAGAAAGACATCAGCATCTTTCTGAAAACAACCCAAAAAAAAATAACTCCCCAATATAACTCCAAATAATAAATATCCCCAAATAAGGCTATTTATTGAGAATGCCTATGTACAGCTGTGGACTTTTGATAGACTGCAATGGTTGGAATAGATTAATTGAAGCCAACCTTTTGCGTGAAACGGGGTTGGTTAGCAGGTAGTTGTAATATTATCTCCCGTTTGCAACTGCGCATCCGCGAGTCACGTTGTAGATATCACAATCTGAACCGATAACTGTGCTTCGTAAAGTAAATGCTTGTAATTTACAATGTAATTAACAAGGAAGATTTACACATTCACAGTTATATGACTGTTGATAGTTTCCACCATCAAATAGAGGAAGCAATTAATCGCAATCCAAAATTTACGATTTTGATTATTTTCACAAACCTGCCAGTCTTTACGATCTAGGAAAGTAGACGTAAACGACGGCAATGACCGTAGTATGTTTTTACTACTTCAAGGACTAAAATAACGCAACGTCTAAAATACACAGAGTAGTAGAAAATAACAGAGTTTACTTGCGTCCACGTGAGGCGAAGCTCTTTGAACTTGCACATAAACAAATATTTTCAAAAAAATAAAATGCTGTTCTTCAGTTTTTAAAATTTTAGTGATCAATGAGAAATCCTATATTATTATTACAAAACTAGCTGGTACCCGGCGCGTTGCTGTCGCAGAAGAATATAATACATAATTGTTTTAAATTTGGAAGAGTTATGTATATGTTATATGTATGTGTATTATGTATATATATATATATATATATATATATATATATATATATATATATGTATATATATATATATATAATCAGCCAAAAGATGAAAAAGAAAGCCAATGAATTTCCGCGAATATTTTAGTTCCGCAACTTGCCGCAGAATATTTGTAGGTCGCTACTTCTCTGCGTATGTCAGCACTGTGTATATTCGACTTTTTTCTCCATCTATTACTCCACGTATCCTGTTACCGTATATTGTAGACATTTTAAAGTTTATGTCGATTCAAATCGATGATTTAATTACATCCGCAAAGTGAGCTCCCGATATGGGCTGTTCGGGGAAATAAAGACCAAAGAGGGCGGGAGGCTCTTACGATTCGCGCTCGGGCACGTGGCGAATATTTCTTTACCAGCTAATGGTCGCTGGTCGGTCATTTGGAGTCCGTTTGAAGCGGTCACTGCATAGTCGTAAAAGTGAAGTGAGAATTTTGAGATCGTCTTGTTTTTCCTTAACATTTATTTGAATGGTAGATTTACTGAAACTGATTTTCTTTAAAAAAATTAATTAAAAATAATATTTGATTAAAACTATTTTTTTTTCAAAATGCGTTTACAAAAACATTAGAAAGCCTTTATCTTACAACTCCTAAAGCTTTTCCTCAGATTCAAGCTACCTGCAATCTTGATGAAATAGAGAAATAGCTTGTATGTAACCAAGGTAGGCCCGAGGTCTCAAATTGTGAGCAGGGAGGCGTTTTTAACAGTGGTAGAGCCGTGTAGTAGCTTTTGCTGTCGCACGGATAGGCTGGCTCTAACCGGGGTGGTACACGATCTCATAGACTACCAGTGTGATGTAGACGTCTACTTATGCACTTCACCTGGTAAGTGCTTGTGGCCGGAGGCCAATTTCCCCCCCCTCCCCCACCCCACCCCTAAACAGTGTAGTGGAGTTTAATAAAACACTACCCCAGAACCAGCACCTCTACTGACGGCGTTACCCCGCTGAGCATCCACGCCCACGCTACCCTACTCTTCCTCAGCGTTGGTCGAAAGCCGCCCTTGCTCTTTCTTACCGAGACGCAGGTGTCCTAACCGTCTAATATTTCGTATCCCTCCTACCCGGGATACAAATTAGAACACTCCTTTGTAGCCGTGCTGGAGTTTTCGTATACGTGAGAGAGGGCATCTGTTTTCAACGCCTCGACAGTCTTGAAGGTATGGACCTGTCCATCCTATGGCTGCGCGTAGGCGGTTGCCTCTATAGGTACCATATAAGTAATGCCGACACAGACGTACTCATCGACCATGTCCAAATGCTGCAGACTCCGAGCTACAACAGATCCTATTTGGATAGATCGTGATCTTCAGTGATTTTAAGGTTCCCGCTTAACCGATCATGGGGGTAGATCTGTTTATGACTTTGCCTTGGCATATGGTCTGACACAACTGGTTACTTCGTCTACGCGGATCCCAGATCTGGAGGATCATGCACCTTCCCTATTGCACCTTCTGCTGATCTTCATCCGGACGGATATAGGTATCTGTCGATACCCCTCTTGGCTCTTCGGATCATTGTCTCATCTGGAGTACGGTGCCACTCAAGCTACCTCGCGGTTGCGTTCTGCGGATTCCCGTGGTGTTTAGTTACTACTGTAGGTGGGCCGATTGGGACAAGATGCGGTCTTTTTTTGCATCCTACCCTTGGAGGTCGCCGGATAATCCCAACGTTGTTGCTGATTCTGTCGTTGATGTGGTACTTTAGGCACTCCTCTACCTTGACTTTAACAAGTCGAGTGGGCCTGATGGAGTCACTCCTATTGTGCTGAAGACGTATGCTCTGGAGTTGGAACCGGTTTTAACGCGTCTTTTCTGTTACTCCTATTCCCTAGGCGTAGTCCTGAATTCATGGAAGATAACTTTCAGATCCCTAAAAAAGGCGACCGCTGAAACCCGTCTAACTACAGGCCTATCGCCATTATCTACCTATTCTCCTAAATAATGATATCCATTATAAACTGACAGCTTTTGAGGTATCTTGACGCTTCGACTGGTGATCTTAAGGTCTACCTGACTCATCGTGCATGATCGTTACTTTTGCGAAAGCCTTCGATCGGGTTTGGCACACAGCGCTTATTTAGAAGCTCCCTTCCAATGGGCTTTCCAAGAAATTTTGCAATTGAATCACCAGCTTTCTTGTAGATCGGAGCATCAAGGTTGTAGTGGACGGTAAATGCTCCCATTACACGCGTATTAACGCTGGTGTTCCACAAGGCTGCGTGCTACCACCAACGCCGTTGCTTCTGCATATCAATGATATGTTGCATATCGATAACATTCATTGCTATGTAGCCGACAGCACTATTGATGCTTTATACACCAACCATGCTAATATTTATCAGGAAAACGAACAAACTTGTGTCTGAAGTTGAGACTTTGTTGAACAAATTATTGGGGGCGACTAAATTTAGTTCAGTTCAATCCACAGAAGACACAAATTTGCGCATTTGCCGCTAAAAAGAACCCCTTTGTCGTATCTTCTCAGTTTCAGGGCACTTCCCTTGTTGTCACAGCCAGTATCGGAATCCTCAGTGTCGACATATCGAATGACGTGCAGGGAAAAGATGGCTAATTATGCCTCTCTGCTTCTCTTCAAAAAGCTTGGGGTGTCAAATCAGCAGAGCGTGACAGCATTTCATGTCGACACACTGCCTGCAACTTTACAAGGCGCAGGAACATTATTCCATATGAGGAATAATGTTCCCATCTCTGGGCCGGGGCTCCCCAGTATCAGTTCTTTTTGTTTGATCGTATCCAGCACAGAGTAGTTCGAATTGTCGGTAACCGAGCTCTTTCTGATCACTTTGACTCACCGTAACTGCGAAGAGATGTTGCATCTCTTTGCCACGCATCCACCACGGAGAGTACACAAACCTGCGTGGTTTTTCGCTGTGCCGCATAGCAATAATGTAACAATTTTTATCCAATAATAAATAAAAAATAAATAAAATAAAAGTGTTATGAGGAATTGTTCGGACTCATTGCAGCCGCTCAATTCACCATCGTAT